AAAAATTTTCATTTTATATCTAAGATTTTAAAATTTAATACAAGGCTCCTAAAATATTTTTACAATAGCAGTTGAAAAATAAAAGAAATGCATATTCACAATTTATTTTACAAGCATTCAAATTTTAATTTTGACAAAATACGTAAAAATCACGAAAATTTGCAAACTATTTTAAACTAGAAATTCATAAAAATTTTTCTTTTTAAATCTAAGATTTGAAAATTTTTAATAATCTATAATATATCCTAGACAGATAACCCGTCTCCGTTCAGAATCGTTTTTTGTATACAATGATACCTATATCATTGCATTCAAATTTAATCTACCCTAGTCAGAGTCCACCCCACCCCCTAATGTATAGCAGAGCGATCCCCACTAACTAACTAACTAATTCAATCTTAATATTCATGTTTTTTTTTATTGTAGTAGGTACCTTCGCTGGGAGGCTTCAACGCTCTGTTGTCTCTATCTATTTGTTTTTTTTTTATCTTTTTTATTACTATCTATTACCTCAGAGTTGGTGTTATTGTTCTTTTTTGCAACAGATTGAATAAAACTTGTAAAACAAAAAATTATTTTTTAATTTTTGTTAATTAATTGGGGAAATTATGATATATGATTATGTTTAATATATCTTACTGTATCAACCATTTTTCTGATATTCTTGATGCTATGATTGCGAACCATAATCTAAATATACGAATTTTGTAAACAAAAAAAGGAATTAAAAGTAGAGAGTACGTCAACATTAATAAAATAATCATTCGTGTGAATTCAAGACATTGATAGATTGTGTCTGTACTTTGTTTAATTAATCCATCCGAATCTAAGATGTAAGACATGTTAATAATACCAATAAATTTGCACAAGTATAAAATATTCCTTAAAGTTATTTTACAAACATTCGTCATTTTGTGAAAACGTTCTATCAGTACTAAATATTGAAACAAAATATTTTATTCTTAAGAACAAATTGTTATTTTACGAGTAATGTAATCATAGTTTAAATCACCTAAAACAATTTAAATAATTCATAAAATTAATTAATTTCATGGGAAATTTCAAATCGTTAATAAATAGTAGGTCAATAAATAATAATCATTATTTTGTCATAGTAAACAAAATTATCAATAGATTAGGTTATGATAACATATTCATACTTCATAATATGTATATGATAGTAATTTATTTTGTTACGAAATCGTTAAAAGTTAGGTTAGGTATAAGTATTATGGTACACATTCACTTATAACATTTGTTTACTTATTTATAACAGCAAATACATTAATGATGATTGATGAGTTTGTGCCAGTGCATATTTTATGTTTTTTATTTTGATAAAATAATTAGTTTTTAATGTTGTACACATCGTAATGACATGTTGCTAATCCAAACTACCTAAAATATTCCTAAGTGGCTAGTGTTAAGAGGACGCTACACGCAGGCACGTAACTAGACATTTTTCTATAAGGGGGCCAATATTTTTTGGCCCCTTTYTGTTTTTTGTACCCAACACCACTCCTCTCCTTATCAGAAAATATCTATAAAAAATAATTCTACATTTCACAATGTATTGTCTGTATTAGTTAAGTATTATTATATTTTTGTTATTTATTAATATAGGTATACAATATACATCTTAAAAAACTAAACTATATTAGGACAAGTCGTTTATTTCTAGGTTCGCTGCTTAGTGCTAAGTCTCTAACTCGATAGATAATAATATTATATTGGGACATACAGGGGCGGAGTGGGAAAAAATTTAGGCCAGGAAAATTAAATTCCTCCAGGCCACCCAAAATTTTCATCTCCTGGTTAAAAATTGTATTTTATCTAATTTTGTATGTAAATATATACGTATATAAGCAGGCAAACAACAATTAGGTACTAAAATTATATATTATAGTGTATGTATTTTACAGATAAAACAATTAACAAAACTATAAAACCGAAATAAAATTAGGTACACAAACTAAAATAATAATAAATCATTATTGTTTTTATACCTATAATATGTTCTAATAAAATTAAAATAAATATATTAACTTACAAAGAATAAACTATTTTAGCTTTAGATATAATTATAATAAATTATTATAATTTAAAATATCAAAATAATAAAGAAATAATCAATTAAATTCGATTTCGTCTTCGTATATAGATAAATAAACTCTTTCATTACCTACTCTACATTATTTTTTTTTCTACCTATACTTTAGGTAAACAGGTCA